AAAAAATAGTCCCATGTTTGGCATGCCATGGACAAAAAAAACATGGGACAATGTGAGACTATTTTTAATTTTAGTAGGACAAATCTTGATATTTCTTGTTCCATCAAAAAAGGTGGAACAACATGGGACTAAAGTTAAAATGACAATATTTTGATTGATTTGTTATCATTTTACAGTCATTATATGATATAAAATAACATTGAACAACATTTATGGGTAATATGATCATTTTAATAGTTTTGTCCTATCATGTCCTAGTGGTACCAAACATAGGACAGACAATTAGTCTTGTCTCGTCCCGTCATGTCCTGTCCTGTTCCGTACCGTTCCGTCCTGTCCCATCTACTCTGCGTACCAAACACTACCTTTATAATTTATATTGGATTGTGCATATGCAGTTTATGCCACAACAGTACTCTTCGATGGATGCGGTAAATATGTTTCAGCTTTTTGATGTTTTTACTTTACAAGTTAACAAGTAAATAAACATATATCTATATTGGATTGTGTGCATAGTTTATGTCACAATAGGAATCTGCAATGGATGTGGTACCATCTACATCATCAAGGGTCCCGTATGTTCCGCATGAAGAACTTTGTTTGCCCGATGCTCTTGAGAAACGAGTGAGGAAGAAATCGTGGTGGACAAAATCTCCATTTACGGCCTTAAAGACAAAGACACAGGACAAGAAAGCGGCCACCCAAATGCCATCGTAGATGCCCGCATCGTATTTGACGTTGATTAGTTGTATGATGCTGATCAATACCCATGATGCGTTTATCGATGTTATCTTATTGGCGGTCTAAAAAGATATTTTAGGGAATAATATTGGGTAGAGATGAATCAAGGTTTTTGGGAAGTGAGGTATGAGAATTACATTCTTAATTAATTAAGTTGAAAAACGTACATATCTGACCTATGGTTCAATAATTAATCCATTGTCTTTTATTTATAGTATCTTGATGCATGTAATACATATTTGCTCCGAAAGAGGCTACTAACTGATCATTGGACAATCATGCGTCCATGTTGGGTACCAAATCTAGAGAACCCCAAGATTGGCCCCACCGAGCAAAAAGTTTACGGCAATGGTACGAAAGAGCTATTTCTAGCATGACTTGATGTTGACCCGGTCGGTAGAATCTCAAAAAAAAAAATTGTTATATATAAAAAATAATCTATTTATCAATTTTGATTTACAACTTATTTTTGTAGGTATTCATCCCTATAAATGTACCACAGATTCATTTGGTGACCACAGAGCTAGACTTGCGGTTGTGACATTTGGTTATCTATGATACTTGTCCTTGGGCAATGTTCAAAAAACAGATCGATTCTTCAATAATGGTTATAAAGAAGTACCTCCCTGAGTTTTTATTAGAGATAAGATACTATATAGGGTTGGGGGAGACATCTAAATTCCCTAAAATACGGGTAGTTTATCCTGAAGACGTGCCCCAATAGGGTTGAATCCTCCGTGATTATGGAGTGTTTTATTGTATGTTTGTTGAAAAGTTGTCCCAAGGAGATAATATATACTGCCCGGAGCCGATGTTTGACATTTCTTTTGTACGTTACACGTATAACTTTGTTGTAATATTGCTACTTTTTGGTTTAAATGATAGTTGTTTGACTAATAATCGTGTAAATGACGACTATCCTACAATAATCATGTAACTTACTAATAATTGTTTAAATGACTAAATAACTTAGTTATACCGACAAATTATAAATTTATCCAATTTAGATTAACAAAAACATCAAGATTATTAAAAAGGAAATCCAACTTATCGCCAACATGATCTTCATCCTACGAGCTTTTGAAGGAGCTTCAAAAAGGGATGTTTCAAGATTGTTTTTTGATCTTAATAACTCTGGAATAATTACCATAGATCGAGGGCACATGGGTGGGTCAAACAAATCAATAAATTCACAATTTCGTCCTTGTAAAAAAAAAATAAGGAATATATATATATATATATATATAAAACAATATCGTGCAAAGGTTTAATAAACGAAACACTCACATGTAATAAACAACAAAAGAATCGACAACCAATATTCTAATCGGTCCATGAAGTTCGGATGATTGCATCATTGCCACAATTGCAACGCCTCACCATTTCTGAGCTACTTAGTTGAGAGTGAATGAAGATTTGATGGTGGAATATATTTGTGAAGGAAAACAAGTTTATTTATAGGAAAATATAGGAGGACTTGTCACATCATCACTATTTAAGAAATAAAACATAACAAGACATACAATAGAAAATACATCAATCATAATACAATTATTAAGATACACACTCAATCATAACAGAAATGCACCATGAACATAAAATACAATTACTTGAAGCTACAAACTGAAAGCAATAAGGACAAATCAGAAAAGTGCTCCACCGTCTGCCCAAACGAGCTCCTGTTTGACATAAGTAGGGGTGAGCAGCGGAACCAGGTACCCGGCTGCGGAACCGGAACCAGAACTGCCGGTTCCGAAACCGGAACCGTATGAGTTGTTCCGATTCCGGTTCCTAAAATACGAAACCGATTGAGAATGGTTCCGGTTCTGGTTCTTAATTTTTCGAAACCGTTACCCATCGGGACCGGGTACCTGGAACCGGCCGGTACCCTGAACCGGAACCGGCAGGTACCCGGATTTTTCAATAAAAAAATAAATATTATTTTTTAATACCAAATTTATATTAGGATTTACATCTTGAAAGCACGCCGTCATCTTCATTCTTCATCTACTTTCGTCATCTTCATTCTTCATCTAAATTCTTCATCTTCGTATATTGATCCATAGTTCCATACTGTTTCGGAGACTGGTTCAAGAACTGGTTCAGAGATTGTATCGGAGACTTGGTTTAAATCTTGAACCAAAAAACTATTATGATCAAGATCATTTATCGATTTAAAAACCTCAGTTGGTTGGGGGTTTGATAGCGTTGCTTTGCTATCGGCGTCTTCGACACATGAACAAAATTATCAGGTCCATTCATTACGACAACACCATGTTGATTGATTTCGGCAGCATTTTAGGTATGCGTGCCACTACAACCAGGAAATAAACTATCGATTTGATTGATTCTGATTGCAAAATATGGATTTCCACCACTACCACCGGGGAAGAAACTTTTCAGTTGATTTATTCCGACAGCAAAATATGGATTTCCTCCCCTACCATCGGGAAAGAAATAACCTGATTGATTAATTCTGATAGAACCGTATGGATTTCCACCACTACCACCAGGGTAGAAAGTACATATTTGGTTGATTCTAGAAGTACTATATGAGTTTGCACCATTATTGCCAGGGGGAAACCTACTTGGTTGATGGATTACGACACTTGATAGATCTCAACTATCACCACCACCTTCGACAACAAAGAGTATCAAATTTTGTGATAAGTTTTGGTGAACGATGTTTTGAAACATCACTACATCGTCGTTGTCACTTAGCTCAAATAACTCACAGCTCAAAGGATTTTTATAAGATAACCTAAAACCAATACGTAAACTTATTTTTTCCGCAACACACTTAACAAAGCCATAATGCATTATTGGCGAAGGCAAAGGTAATATAAATTTGGGCACCCTAACGGTATATACTTTATAACATCATTTATCGTTTGGAACGAACCACCACTTTGAACATACACATAAGCATTATCACTTTGATGTGATTTCGTATTTGTGTTAAGAGGTTGTGATGGTAAATTGTGTTAAGGGTTGTGAGCGTTATAGTTTGGTACTTCAAAATATAAACTACATTTTTAAAGAGAATACTACAAGTATATATACTACATTTCTTCCTAAATAAAACAAAATACCAATCAAAATCACCCCTTATGTGTTGTCATGTCATAATTGAGCTGTCAAATCAAATAAAAAGTTGCATCATAGAATGTATTCACTACAAGACAAAATAGAAGGCAAAATCGCCCCCGGGGGCGATTTGCATGAAAAAGTCTTACACAATCAGATTTTTGTTCTCTAAATAGTATACATATGGGACCTAGCCGTACATGAAATACCAAAATCACCCCATGAGCTAAAATCACCGTTCAGGGCGATTTTGGTGATCATTTTGTGAGTAAAACTTGAAAAAATGATCATTTTGTTAGTGTACCATTATTAAACTGGTTATTTTAGGTAATTTGTCTAAGGGGTTGTTTACCTAAATGTTTACCCGGTAAGCTCTTACCATTAGGAGTCAATACTATAATTTATTTTCTAGGTAAGACTGTAGTATATCTAAATGATATCGTTTACAACAATATATATGGTAAATGCTTACCCGGGTAAGAGTCGTCACCCTCACTTACCGAATAAGACTCTCTATCCTTATCATCGCTCTTACTAGGTAAGATTCTTGAGTCTTGCCATGTTCGTCCAGTGATGAAAATTGTCCGGTAAGCACCTACCGGGTAAGCGTTTAGTAAACGGCCCCAAAAAAATATTATATTTACATAAAATATAAAAATATAGATTTAACTAATTTATTTATATAGGCTAAAAATGGTTATAATTAATACATTAAATTTTTTTTTTGAAAAATAATTAGTACATTATGTTATAATTTATGGGCCGTTTACCTAACACTTACTTGGGTAAGTGAACATCAAGTCACATTATCTTACCGGATGAATATGTTAAGGACTAAAAATCTTATCCAGTAAGAGCAAGACAAGGAGCAAGAGTCTTACCCGGTAAGTGAGGGTGATGACTCTTACCACGGTAAGCACTTACCGGGTAAATTGTTGCATACGACACCATTTTTAATGAACTAAAATCTTACCCGATAAATAACTGATAATGTTAAATTTTATTAATAAGCAACAGTAAACGAGCCCCAAGGTTGAAGATTTTTGAAAAGGGGAGATTGATTCCATTTTTGACCCGGTGGGTAACGTTCATCTGTTGTTCCAACCATCAGGGAATCACAGCGTACATGTCATATAATAGACCACCAACCCCCAAACCAAAATCGATCAAACATGGTGTTAGATATCTCACATCCAAATACTTGCATCAGAGGGTGTTGCTGCAGCGATTCAATCCCTCTGCATCTCCCTCCTTATTCCTACTCGCTCTCACTTCCAATTGCTCGAGGTATGTGTTGCTTTCAGTTTCAACTGGAACGAAAACGAATTCGTTGATTTCAATGCTTCCATCGTCTTTGTTGATTTTAAATTTCTATGTTTTTCTGTTTTATGTTAGCAGGAGCTGAGAGTGTTGTGTACGATGCAACATTGGATGGGAATAGAGTTGCTGTTAAGAAGCCTATATTGTCGACTTCCGACGACATCAACAAGTTTCATAAAGAATTGCAATTGCTATGGTTAGTTAGTTCTATTATACCTACCTGTCTACAAATAAATGTTGTGCTTCATTCAGATCATTCAGTTAAGAGCATTATTTCGATTTACACTTTATGACGTCAAACCAAACTAGATTATGCAACCAAAATTGGTACTAAATTTGATGCTAAGTTTGTAACCCTTGTTATAAAGTAAAGTAATAAAAAATTCTGATAAGTTGAGGTTTCAGAAAAATGAAGTTGCAAACCAAGTGTTTGATTTTTTCAAATCAAAATGCTAGAGTCCGAGGTCAGCTAGACTTGGAGCCTTTCTTGTCAATATATGTTGGACCCCCAATGTTATGCATTGCACACATCTCACATGCTATCGAAGCTAATGTCTACATTGTTGCACAACTGTGACGAGGACTCAACACTTTGTGACATTTGTACCTGTCTAGCCTCTGTTGGAGGGGACTTGTTATAGTCACACATCTGCTAGACTTGCGACCCTTTCTCCTCAATACATGTTGGAATCCCCCTTCTCGCTCTTTTGGAGAGAAATCTGATGGGATTACTCATATATCACAGAAGATATGCTCTTTTTTATGCAACCAAAGGAGAACGAAAAACTTGTTGGCTAATGTGTAATTTCTTTCTATGATTGGGAACTTGAAGCAAGTTAAATCACCAAGGAATTGCAAAATTGGTCGCAGCACATGCAAGACCACCAAACTACATGTTCTTCTTCAAGTTCTATGAGTCTGGAAATCTTTCACAGAAGTTACATGTTGAAGAATGGAGTCCAGCGATTGACCAATCACTTATGATCACCAGACAGCTAGGTAAAAAAACACTGGCTGTCTTTTATTAACCGACTTCTTTTAGATTCCAATTGACTCTTTTGTTTGTGGGGTTGTGACTGAATGCTGTAGGAATACGACGTCTTTTTTGTGGCTTCTGGTTACATATTATTAGTATTTCTGCATCATCTGGTATCTCATTTTAAGGATCCTTAAGGGGAGCTGTATATAAGATCATATTTTTCATTTGTGGGTGTATAGCTTTAGTATACCACATGAAGTATTTGGTATTTGCACTCCTAATACTTGTCTTTAACTCTATACTATTTCTTGCACAGTGGCCTACTAATTTGAGAGATCACACATGTTTATTTGTTCAAGCCAACGATTTCCATGATTTGTGCACCCTATATTATGTTATCGAAAATAATAAAATAGGGTAATCGATCAAGAACCGGATTACTTGAGAATCGTGTAAGAGATCACTTTCCGAATTGATATTTCGACCCAATGCCCGGGTTACTTGAAATTCAATATGGGATAAGACTCAAGAGAGCACTTTCGTTTTTAGGCACAAAAACGAGAGCAAACTTGCTGTAGCTATGTAAGGATTGTTCAAAAACGTGAGTCCCAAAAACATAAGGACAAAAGGTATTTATGCTCATAAAAAATAAATGAAATGACAATTATGGCCCATTATTAGGAGTAGTGGACAGTTACAAAAACTGCACATTAATAGTAGTGGACAGTTACAAAAACTGCACATTAATTAAACATTAACTGCTCAATAACTGTTTTAGACACGAGACCAGAAGGAGCCCCCTCTGCCCTTAACAACCAGAAGCGAGACCAACCAGAACCCCTCTGGTCCTTAACAATTCTGGTCTTACCAACGAGAGCTTCTGGTCCTTTTGATCAAGTTTTCCACTACATTGCAAGGGGTGCTGCCCCCTGACCCCCACCATTTCGTCGTGTCCGGGGTCATACTCGTCTTATAACAAGTGTGCACTCCGCACCCCCTGACTTGTATTAGAACATAGTATAAAACCCCATTAGAACTCGTTGTTACTTCCAATTGCACTTAAATGGCCTGGTGACACTAAAATCACCAACATATTATATGTCATATTATGTCAGATTTTCAACATGAACTTGAAAGAAAGTTCTTACACCAGACACTGTTCCATGTACGGATTCAAGGGAGGCAGTCTTTACATAACCCAATTAAGTTACACTGTCCATGCTCTCTTTTGCAGCAAACGCTTTGCAATATCTTCATAACATTGGAATTGTACACAGAGATGTGAAGCCAGCAAATGTTCTTGTAAGTTACAGTAGTTGATAGGCTCAGATTGTCAATATTTCTATTATCTAGCTGTTTAGTTACATCTGTCTTTTATGTAGAAACTTTTGATTCCACAGTTTTATATTGTGTTTGTTGTAGTTCAATACGTAACTCTTATTTTAATGCAGCTTGACAAAAGGCTGCGGCCACATCTTGCAGACTTTGGTTTGTCCGAATACAAGCGAGATCTTAAACAGGTCACACCGGAGAACTGGAGATCATCAGGCAAGCCAACTGGTGGTTTTCATAAGAAGAATATGGTGGGTACTCTCATCTACATGGCACCTGAAGTATTGAGGAAGGAGGTTCATACTGAAAAATCCGATGTATACAGTTTTGGAGTATTAATCAAGTAAGAACCCTATCATGATCTGAATCATCTTGTTAAACATTCTATTTACTGTTTATCATAACCCTATAATGGAAATTAGTAGTCATATAAAATCTTTTCTGGTATTTTCTATAGCTTTTCTCAATTCTCAGCCTCTTGTGCTCCATCCGTCCCATGAAACTTGATTTTTGACTAAATATGTAGTTTAACAAAAAGGTTTGACTACTAATCAGTTGTCCTAAATACACTTCAATATTGATAAAGTAACAGAAACCGTGGGCCAAAAGCAATTAGCATTAATTAGATATAATGATGGCTTTGGATAAATAGGTAATATAACATACAAATTGCCAAAGAAAAAGGGAAATGTTGCACTTTTCCTTCACATTCCAAAATGAGAACTTTGCAATTTTCATGGGACAGATAGATTTCTTAGTTCTACATGTCTTTTTATAGGTCTATTTTGATAAGGAGTGTGACTTGACTTCTCACCTTTCCTTTTCGAAGATACTTGCTTGTTGCAGGCAGGGCAATTAGTCTTCCTAGTAAATTTTCTAATCAGCATTCTGGAAAGGAAGAGCATCCAGAGTGGTGCAACCTTCAAGAACTTCACTTGCCATATTTTTTTCTGCCATATCATTGTCACCTCAACAGAATAAGAACCTCAATAGAACTCCACAATGGTGGTTCTTACAAACACCTCACTTTCCATTTTTTTAATTTATAAAATCTAATTTTATTTATAAATTATTATATAAATTTAACACATATATATACTATAAAATTATAAAAAATCCAAATATAATTTATTAATTTTCACTTTTCCATATTAATTTGTATTTGTTAATTTATATATTTTGCTAACAAATTTGAAAAACAATTGAAACATGAATATAATCTTATACTACAACTAAAAGAAGTGCAAAATTACACGCACATTAATCTATATAAAAAGTAACACTAAATAATTTTGGAAAATTCATAGGTCTTGGAGAATGTAGGGGATATGGAGAGTTGGATGCATTTGAGAGCCTTTCTTGATTCTCAATGTCTTTTTTCATTTTCTTTGAAGGAAAGTGTGAGGAATGACTCATATGGTGTTTTATATATATATAGGGGTCCATTTGATTAGGCCCCTATATATATAATTAAAATTAATTCATAAATCGTAAATTAATAACTGTAAAATATTTTTTCTATTTTTAAAAAATATACCAAATTTTATGTATATATAAGTATTTGAAAAATAATATAAACAAATAATATGATGAGATAATTAAAATTTAAACTTACTAATTAAAAAATTTGTATAAAAATTTATAAGAAACGAAATTAAAAAACTTTACTTTATAATAATTAATTTATATCTTTTTATATCAATTTTAACTTATATGTTTTATAGATTTATTAAAAGAAAATAAAATGATCAAGGAATAATAAAAATAACAAAATGTCACAATAGGAATGTATACAAGAATCCGGATTCTTGTTCAAGCTCCTGGTTGTGACTGGATAAGAGTCTCTATCCCACAGTGGAGGTTCTTATAAAAACCCCAACAAGAACCTCAACAAGCACCTCCATTATGGATGCTCTAATTGACTCTATTTCATAGTAACTTTAAATTCCATAGTTAATAAGCTCTATTCCATAAGGGAATGCATATTAATAAATTATAATATTACCATATAATTTATACGGTAATCATATATCCATATTAGGGAAAACTAGCATCTATTTTATTACAGTTAATTAATTAGCTCTATGTAAAGGAACTAGTAGAGAAGAGAGGGCATGCTTGATTTGATCGAGTGGGTTTATTATCAGATAGAGAAGCTTGCCTCTCGAAGTAAGCTTTTTTTTTCATTCATCCTTTTAATTGGATAAAACATTTAGTTCCTATCAGAACCCTACTTAACTGTTGTGTTATGGAAATACAATGGAAGTACTTGTATTACTATAAAGGTAACATGTTTACTGGTTGCTTGTGCTTCTGATGGATAATTGTTAATATTCTAGACGAAATCCTTAATAGTCTTGCCATATACCATAATTGGTGATCCTCCTCATTCTTAGTTGTATGTTATCTTGTAGTTGTATTAGATGTTTCTCTTTTCACCCTCTTCATTCTTGGGTTTTATGGATGTGGACTTCTCTTGAAACTTGAGAGGCTATTTTACATTGACTTTCCCTCATGTATGTATACAAAAACAAACCATTAAGCTTAACCCATTGTAGTGAACTTCTCACAGGTGTTGTTCCATACACCGATCTTCGCACTGAAGCACAGGTTAGTAATTTAGATTTACATAATTTTGTTGTAATGTTCTATACCTGGTCTAGGTATGTATTACCTGAAATATCAACTATGTGCTACCCTTTTTCCTTGGCACACTTCATAAGAAAGTTTCCCTTTTTGTAGCTTTCTGTTAATTTGGTCAAGGACGAGCATTTTGGAACTAAATCAGCAGTTGAGTGCAACTTGCATGTGTAGGCTATGTGGTTCTCAAAAGAAAGAGTACAAAAAGACACATTAAATACAGTTTATGAATAACGAATATAGAATGCGTAGATAAAGCTTAATTTCAAAAACAGTAACTACCTTAGATGACCGCATGAGTATATTTGGAAATTTAATGTACCTATGTGCTTTACGATGACAAGAGTAAGCTTCTAACATTTTTACACAAGAGCATACTCAAAATGACGAAAGCTTATACATATTTTTTTTTGGAAAAAGCTTATACATATATTGTTTTCTAATTCATTGGCTGGAGTTCCATGTATCCTTTATTATCCTTTTTAGCAAACTGTTGTAAGCTGCTTTGCCTCTTTGCATCTTACCATAACAATATCTTCTACTGGCAGGCTCATACTGTGTTGGAAATGAACTATACTGAGCAGCAACTAACAGCAGCCGTCGTGTCTGAAGGATTGAGACCTGCTCTTGCAGGAATTGAAGGGGGTGCTCCATCAAGATTACTGTCCTTGATAGAAAGATGCTGGGATGCTGATACCTGTAATAGACCTTCTTTTGATGATATAATCACAGAACTTGATCTCATCATTGGGAATTATAAGAGACTCACAATGGAGGAGAATGCTGCCACTGAATCATCTTCAAGTGATGAGAACACTAATATAGTTCAACCTTCGCAAGAGATTGTTGACTGGTTTGTTCAGGGGGAAAGTATATCAAAAGCTACTTATGACAGTGGCCTCGGTGTGAAAAGTTGGGCTGTTTATTCAGATAATTCTTCACTATACCTTCCGGTTCTATCCTGGGGTTCCTTTGCTACTTGTGGAAGAAGGGAGACGATGGAGGATACACACTTCCTTATGCCTCATGTGTGGAATGAAGAGGATATCCATATCTTTGGAATCTTTGATGGTCACCGAGGTGCACATTAAAAAAATGGTTTCAACTATAATTGCTTTGGACTAGGATTAAATGATATCCATATAGATATAAAGCATGTTACAATCTTGCATCTGGTCTATCCGAAGTCGTAAGAGTCAAACTCTAGGAATTAAAATGCATGTTGATTAACTCCTTATGTCACTTTTCTTTTACTATCCGGAAGGGGGTTCAATGAATCTGGGTACATGATCCAAAAAATCATAAACTTTGTAGTTTAAACACTTCATGTTCCCCAAGACAAGTAATACCGTTTGAACCAAGCAGGTGCTTTATTGGTTTAGTTTGCTGAATCGCATAACAGAATTAGCAAAAAGAGTAGATATGTGCATGGAACTGTAGGGATGAAATAGGGGCAGCAGGTTATACTCTTTCTATATGATGATGTCATGCAATTAGAGTCTAATTAGGAAAATTCCAGGAACTGCTCTATAGCGTCTAAACAATAAACCCATCTATACGATAACTTCTAGTTCTTACCCTTTTCTAGATCCACTTAAAAGACAGAAAATTCTGGTTTCCTAATCTTACTTGAAATACATATGGTAGATATTTTGCTGTATAAAAATTCATTGTAATATTGATGTTGGGTGCATGCAGGTGCTGCAGCTGCAGAATTTTCTGTCCGAGCACTACCAAAACTATTGCAAACTCTTGATTGCGCCAGCAGGTGGTTATGGATTTGATCTTCCATTAAGACCATCTAGAATTTACTTTATTTGTTCTTTTGAGAAAAATTAATCTGTTATTATACTGATGACAACACAGCCCCCCTGATGCACTTAAAGAAGCATTCATCAACACAGATGTTGCATTCAGAAAGGAATTAAATTCTCAGCGTAAATCCAAGGGGTTTATCCAGAAAGACTATCACCCTGGTTGTACAGCAATTGCGGCTCTTATAGTTCGGGATAAGCTTTTTGTTGCTAATGCTGGTGATTGCAGGGGAATCATATGTCGAGCAGGTTGCCCCTATCCTCTAAGTAAGGTTGTTGTTCCATTCTTGTAGGAGACACCAAAAATCCTTGGTTAACTTATCATCTTGACTTATACCTGATTAATTAATATTTACTTTGTAGGACCATGTTGCAAGTTGTCCTGAAGAGAGAGAGCGTGTTACTGGTGTAGGAGGTCAAGTCAAATGGCAGCTTGATACGTGGAGGGTTGGTCCTGCTGCCCTTCAGGTTAGTTTAATTCATAAAGAGAGCTTCATCCATACGTGGTTTAATGGAAAAACAGCCAAACAGCCCCTTAGTGTTGTTTGCTTAATTCTGCAAAGTATGGGACGATGATTCCAAATGGATCCTTCATTCCCTAGGTGCAACACCTTGGAACTCATGTTCCAATTTTATCGTTGTACCCAATTTCTTTGCCAAAGTCTTTCCTGCATCAGTAGTTAGATTCTCAAAATTGCTTACATTTTCAAAAATTTGGATGTCATCTATATCAGTGTTGCTTTCTCCTTGCTGTTCAAAGGAGGATATCTAATGTTAACAAGCTACTTGCTAAATTTCTAACAGAAGTTTTCAAGTCAGAGCATCAAAATGAATTGAAATGATTTTATTCTGTTTGAGTTGATTTCTTTCCATGCTACAATGATGCATATATAATTCAGGTTTTCTCTTCTAATAATATTCGATTACAACCCTGCATTTACATGGTATGAGAGTTGGTATTAGAT